CGTCTACTTTATTTTAGAGCCAAGACCTGTATTATACACATATACACACAAACACACATATAAAATGGTTCAAATCTGGGATGAAACTCTTACATTGATCAAGATTAACCATATTTGGGGCCACAGCTGTGGTGTAGAAGGCTAAGCCCCCACCTGCACTGCCAGCATCCCACATGGGTGTTAGTTTAAGTCCTAGCTGCTCCACGACTGATCAGCTCTCTGCTATGGCCTGGGAAAGCAGTAGATGATGGCCCGATTACTTGGGCCCTTGTACCCATGTGGGAGATTCAGATGAAGCTTCTGGCTCCTGGCTCCTGGCTTTGTGGCCATTTGGGGAGTGAACCAGCAGATGGAAGATCGATTCTCTCTCTCTCTCCCTCCTTTTCTCTCTCTCTCTCCTTCTATCTCTGTATATCTTCCTTTTAAATAAATAAATAAATCTTTTAAAAAAGACTAACCGTATTTTGGTAGCTTGGCATTTCTATAATTGTATTTCTTTATAAATCATGTGTAAGATAAAAAGTCATACTACATTGCCATTGAAGGAATGTCTGAGAAACTAAAGCTATATTCCTTATTGGCATTTATGGGGCTTAATTCCATGCTGACCTTTAGGTTAGGACCATCTCACCATTATGACTGAATATTGAGAGAATTCTCAATAGCCCTTCAGCAGGCACTTAAAGCTTTATTTTGAGTAACATGATTGGGGCAATAGCCATTCAAATTGAGGAACCTAGCAGTTGAAAGGTTTGCTGTTTCTCAGGATGAAGGAAATAGAAAGAAATTAAGTATCCATATGGCTGTGTTCTATGAAGACTTTTACTGTTTCCACTAAAAGTTTATTAAAATATGCAAGTGTTTTCGTATATCTTTGATATGTGAAAGTGAAGGATGCATAGAGCTAAACAAATAATAATTTCAGGAAAAGCTAGATCATTATGAGCACCAAAAAAGTTTAGGGGAAGCTGTCATTGTAGTGCAGGTGCTTACATTGCCCCTGCAACGCTAGCATCTTTTATGAGCTCTGGTTCAAATGAAGTTTTCTAGATAGACACTTCTCAGGTTTTTTTTTTTTTTTTTTTTTTTTTAGAGTTATTTATTTATTTAAAGTCAGAGCTACAGAGAAAGGGAGAGACAGGGAAATCTTCCCTCTACTGGTTCATTTCCCAGATGGCAGAAATGGCCAGAGCTTGGCCAGGCCAAAGCCAAGAGCCAGGAGCTTCATCTAGGTCTCCCCCATGGGTTGCAGGGGCCCAAACACTTGAGCCATCTTCCACTGTTTCTCCCAGTCCATTAGCAGGGAGCTGGATCGGAAGTGGAGCAGATGGGACACTAACCAGTGCCTACAGGATGCCAGTGTGCTACAATGCCAGACCCTCAAGTTTTTGTTTTTTTTTTTTTTTTTTAATATCTATTTAATTTTAGTGTTTGTAAGCCAGAGTTAGAGAGACAGGAAGACAAAGAGAGATTGATCTCCCATATTCTTCCATCTGCTGGTTCACTTCCCAGATGGCAGGGGCTGGGCCAGGCTGAAGCCAGGAGCCTGGAACTCATCTAGCTCTCCCACATGGGTGCAGGGGCCCAAGGACTTGAGCCATCTTCTGCTGCTTTCACAGGAGCAGTAGCAGGGAGCTAGACTGGAAGGGGAGCAGTAGGACTCAAACTGGTGCTCATATGGGATGCTGGCACTGCAGCCCATGGCTTAATCTTCTGTGCCACCATGCTGGCCTCCCTACTCCCACCCTTTTTTCTTTCTTTCTTTTTTTTTTTTTTTTAAGAAAAACTTCTTAAGTTTAAATGTCCATATGAACCAGCTGGAAATCTGTTCAAACCAAGACTGATTAGTAGGGGGTAATCAAACTCTCTGGGGATTCTGAGAGTCTTCAGAAGGTACTTCAGCTGGAAAAGTGGACACAGTTGTAACAAATATTACCTGCAACAATTTGTCATTTGTGGTTTTCATCTCTATGTATTTGACTTGTTTTTCAGGAGACATATCCTTGATAATGCCATCTGCGGCTTGTTTTTCTTGCTCAATTTCTTCTTCTACACTTCTAATTTGTTTTTCTTTCCTGAAATCAAAAGCATGCAGTATCTTGTGACTATATTGAAGAAAAAAGCATCAAATGGTTTTACTCAGATAATGGTTTCAATTTAATGAGATTCTTAAATATATTCAACAACAGTGTGTGACTGAAAACTCCTTACATTCATACAAAAGAATTTCTATTTGATCTGTATGAAATTTAGCTAAGTCAGGATAGACTTACATCTTTCTCTCCTCCAGGTTCTTCCTTACTCACCATTTTAGGTTACTAATAAAACATCAAGTTTATCACAGGAAATCCCTAAGGGTTTGTACACATGAGGATGTACTTAAAATTTTTGTTACTATATTCCCCAAATGACAAACCAGGGTTAATTATCCTTTAGCAATAAAATTCTTTAAACAAGTGAAATCTCGTATAGCAGGTTGCCATGTAAATGATGTAAAGCAACACAGCTCTCAGTGAACTGGGGAGTATGAAGACCAGTAGAGCAATATGGTTTTTAAAAAAATCATACATTTAGGTTAATATGCTTTGCATAAATTCCCCTTGCTGCTTTAATTAAAACGAGTATTTGACTAAATATTGTTATAGTTTAATATTGTAAAATAATAAACTAGTTTTCCTAAAAATGTAACTAAAATATTACAAATAATGTAAAAGCAATATTCATGAAATCACTTAGAAAAAAACCTTTTTTTATATGATGATGGGAAATTACAAATGACACATTACTTAAGTTATGTAATGTCCATTATAAATAGGAAAGAGGAAATCTGAGAGAAAAAGATGTAAGAAGATGTGAGACACCACTTACGTAAATACATCAAAATTTACTTATAAAAAGCCTGACTGAACATAAATACTCAATAACAAGATCAATAAATTTCTATCTTTGGTTTCAAAATTTCATTAATTTCTCACTATTTACTTTCACTCACAGATAATTTTTACAGTTTCACAATTGCTAGCTAAGCCCTGAAGATTCATATATACCCCCACACGCTTCACAGTCATTCTTAAAAAAAAAGGAAAGGATTTATTTATTTATTTATTTATTTGAAAGGAAGAGTTACGGGGGAGGGGAGAGCAAGCGAGAGAATCGATTTTCCATCTGCTGGTTCACTCCCCAAATGGTCCCAATGGCCAAAGCTGGACCCATCCAAAGCCAGGAGCCAGGAGCTTCTTCCAGGTCTCTCACGTGGGTATAGGGGCCCAGCAGGGAGCTGGATTGGAAGAGGAGCTGCTGGGACTCAAACTGGCATCCACATAGGATGCCAGCACTGTGGGTGGCAGCTTTACCCACTAAGTCACAGCACCAGTTCCCACAGTCATTCTTTACTGCTAGAATAAATAACCTAAAACTCGGAAAATTCTTTGCAAACAACATCTCGTAATAACTAAATTGTGGTGCAGCAAGTTAAGCTTTGCTTTGGACACCTAAAAATGTCAGTTTGAGTCCCAGTTCCTCTGCTTCCAATCCAGATTCCTGATAATACAACTGAGAAAGCAGCAAATGATGATCCAAGTACTTTGATTCCCTGCCCCCATGAGGGAGACTTGCAGTTCCTGGTTCCTGGCTTCCTCCTGGCCCAGCTCTGGCTATTCAAAGAAGTTCAGAAGTGACCTAGCATGATGGAAGAATTTTGTTTCTTCCTCTCTGTCACTCTGCCTTTCAAATAAATAAGTCTTTTTAAAAATACCTAAATAAAAGATGAACACCATGACACAGATAACTTAGAATTTTGATTTATTTTTGTCTCACTGTTGAATAGTGAATGAGGTCTTTAGTGTGAACTTCTATTATTATAGTATAGCAAATATGTTTGAATTGCTGAAATTTATGTGGGTATACGGGCTCACAGAACTTTAAAGCAAAATATATCACCCATTTTAATCTCTGCTTCATGAAATAAGGAGAATAAAATCCCACAGAAATTAATCTTTTGGAACTCATCTTAAACTTCATGATTATTCACTACTAACAATATTTCTTTCTATTTCCTACTACATTAGAGCTAATGGTTAAATGAGGACTAATGTTGGAGAGTATTCCATTTTACAAAGGGGAAACTATAGCACAAGTGGGCAACTAATTTTCTGAAGGCCATATGATGGCCAACTGCCAAGTCTCTTTATGCTTCAAGTACTTTCCTCTTCCTCTAACTTGGCAGGAAAAAAAAAACAACTGATGATGCCATAAAAAAAGTAAATCACAAAGTTGAACTCCATGAAATACAAAACTTGGTGATATCTTTTTAATTTAAATCTTCTAGTACTGTGGTGCAGTGGGTTAAGCCAGGGTAAGGTTAAGGACTGGGGCCAGTTTCGTGGCATAGCGTGCTAAGCCTCTGCCTGTGGCACTGGCATCCCATAGGGGCACTGGTTCCTGTCCTCTTCCGATCCTACAGCTCCAACCGTTGCAACCATTTAGGGAGTGAACCAGTGGATGGAAGACCTTTCTCTCTATCTCTGTCTCTCTCTGTCTAAAACTCTACCTCTCAAGTAGATCAATAAATCTTAAAAAAAAAAAAAAAAAGGGAGAGAGAGAGAAAGTTAAGGCTCAATCCCAGCCATTGTGGCCATTTAGGGGTGAACCAGTGGTCTACCTGTCAAATAAATGAATAAATATTTTTAAAAGACACAAAATACCTGTAAGACTAATGGAAATTAGCAACAATGTATCTTTCAAAAGTATGCATTCTCAATATTATATACCTTATGTCATAAAGTAAAATTGTTAATATTTTAATAAATTTTGAAAAGCAGTTAACATACACAAAGTCAAAGCAAACTGCCTTATTTGTTACATGAAAAAAGTCAAAGATGACTTTAAGGAATTATTCTTCTAGTCAATCTTTTGCTAAGGAAGTCTAGCTATTTTTTTTTTATTACCTGTTCATTAGGTACAAAGGTTAAAACAAAGTGAATTACAATCATATGACATACTTTTGTTTTATGGTGTAGAAGAAACAGGATAAACTGCTTTAGTACACCAGTCTCAGAAGCAAAAGAAAAAAGTAAAGGTAAGATCCTATATATTTGTAGGTTTGGTGGTGGTTGTTGAATTTTTAAACAGAAAGTAATTATATTTTAAGTTCATTAAGTCTATACAATCTTTGCCTTTAATAAATGAGGAAAGAGTATAAGATATGAGTATATTTTCAAATGATCTACCTCAGAAATAATATAAACCTATGAGAAGGACAAGAATCTCAAATAAGGTTAGAATACCATACAATTGTTTCTCTTTAGGAAAGAAAAATGGTTTAATCTAGCCAATGAAGTTTATAAGATCTTTTTATTATTTTGAAATGTTAACCACAAGACATTTTGAGGTGACATTACTCTAAAAACCAATTTGCAAGATGAATAGAAGACTGGTAACTTTCGAAGCTGGGTAATAATTATTCTCTTCACCTAAGTTTCTTTCTTGAAAATTTTCATTACTAAAAAGCTTTTAAAGTTTCAAAAAATTCTATAAAATAGCTTCAGAAGAAAAGTTAATTGTGAATCATTAATATCTTCTCCAAATATGCTAAAATGACATAAATATCTAAAATACTTAGTGTCAAAACTATACACAGATTTTATTTTCAAAAATTACAGCATCTTTTTATTACACACAATAATTTATTACACACAATATTACACACAATAATATAAATAAAAGCTACTAAGAAATTGCACTGAAACATTATTAGTAAGAACATTATTTCTTTTTACAATAGCTATCATTTCCTTTTTATGTAAAGCTCTTTTTCCCTTCTGTAATGTACACTGCTGGCTATGTTTTGTGCTCTTAACTTTGTGAAATAACTAAAAACAAATTCCTTTTTCTATTTTTTATTAGTTCCTATGTAATCACTAAATTTAAATTCAAATGTTATTTCAAAATAAATTTAAAATTGAGAAACCAATTCCAAAAGGGAAAAAAGGCAAGAGGAACTGTCCTTTTTTAAAATCAGCTTTTTGAATAGGGTAAATTGACTACTTAACAATTTCTAGATAATCTACTGACTAACTACTCTGCCAATCTATTTTCTTTAACACAAACAATAATGGTTGTAAATGCTTTCGCTTAGGGATTTATTCAGTGTCATGATGGTCAATATTCATCCTCCTCTGCCAGACTCTTCTTTGACACCCCAAAGACATACAAATACGTGGAAACCCCCAAAGACAGTGTAGATATGGGTATTTCAGTTTTCCACCCAATAAAGCTTTACATTTCTTCAGTGCCTTCTTGTGCCTAATATACTGTTTCTAATTCTGAAATTATCACAAAGAAAAAATTATTTTTTAATCCTTATAATTTCATTTCCTTAGCATATTAGAGAAAACACTATTAAATAGATGATAAAATAACACATATTAAATATAAAATCATCCTCTATATTTGTTTCCTCATAGGTCACAGTCTCATCATGCCCCCTTTTACCTTCCTCATCTGTTCCTATTCTATATCACCTCTTTCCTTAAATCTAGTGAATTTTCTTAGTAATCTATTGTTTCTAACCACCCCATCCAAATTTGCTTATGAAAAAACAGCACTTCTCCTCCTTTATTCACTTCTCCTCACTTATCACCAGAGACATCAGTAAGAACTTTACCAGGCTACCAGGAAATAACAAAACAAGCCACTGAAGAGGTTGTACACCAACTCCTAGAGATCATTAAGCACAGGTAAACTATCTTTTGTAAATGATTTAGGCATCCCCCTTCTGTGAGCAAAGGTCTGGAATAAGTGATAGCTTGAACTCATTTCTGGCTCTAAAAGGGATTCTATTAATATCTACATGCAAGCTGTATAAACGCTACAAGGCAAAGTTGCTGATTTAACAATCAAAGACAGAGGGAGGAGAATAAGCCAAAGCAGATCAACAAAATGAAGGCAATGAAGAAACACTGACTAGAACAGACCAGCATTGAAATAACAACACACTTCCCACTCTTTTTTTTTTTTTTTTTTTTTTTGGACAGGCAGAGTGGACAGTGAGAGAGAGAGAGACAGAGAAAGGTCTTCCTTTTCCGTTGGTTCACCCCCCAACGGCTGCTAGGGCCAGCGCACCGCGCTGATCCAAAGCCAGGAGCCAGGTGCTTCTCCTGGTCTCCCATGAGGTGCAGGGCCCAAGCACTTGGGCCATCCTCCACTGCCTTCCCAGGCCACAGCAGAGAGCTGGACTGGAAGAGGAGCAACCGGGACAGCATCCGGCTCCCCGAATGGGACTAGAACCAGGTGTCCCAGCGCCGCAGGTGGAGGATTAGCCTAGTGAGCCGCAGCGCCAGCCACATTTCCCACTCCTAAGTGGGTGACAGACTTCAGTAACTTTAAGGGAGTCTTACTCACTGTGATTAGTTTTTTCTAGTTCCTGCTCTGATGGAATATACTTTCCTTAAAATGCATAAGTAACAAATGATGCAAGAAAGCTCAAAAAACTACATTTTAGGCGACTCCTAAAGATTATATCTTTATAAATTACCCACTGGCAGAAGGGTTTATAATGTTGACTTTAAGAAAGCAGAGGTAGAGAAAGAAGAAACATCAAGGTTATGAATAAAATGGTTATATGGAAAGTATTTAGCAATAAGAGTATACTACAATAAATGGCAATTTCAAGCTAAAGATGGCATGTTGAATTCACCTACTAATTTTGACTCTTGTCCAAAACCTGACTAAAATCAACATAAAAGGCACAAAAATTAAATAATAAGGTATAAACTAACAAGGACAAAGAGAACAGAAAAGGAAGCAAGAACAACAAAACTAGGAAACCACAAAGTTAACAGTTGAATGGAAACTGACTGGAAAGGAAAATTCTTCCAAGCCAGCAAATAGAAAAGCTCAGAAGCCACTTGGTTTAGATTGCAGAAACTCTAAAAGGTCTAAAACTTTGGCAGTGCTAGGTATTCTGGAAGTAGAGGAGAAGGGATTCATTCCTCCCTGTCTCTGCTCAGCCAGATAATGTTCTTCCCTTACATTGAGAAGATTAGAAGACTTTATTCCCTATATGGAGAAATGAAACAAAAGGAATCTGAGCAATAGAGAGAAGTGAGAACAGGGACACTTATGAAGGTAAATTAAATTTGACACAACAAATATTAATATACATCAACATTTTTTTAACCATTCAGCTCTCAGAATGTTGGTCAGATAGTAGAGTAGAAGAGGCATATATAAAAAAGTTCTACAGTCTACAAGATCCATACAAACATACAGTCCAATGAGTGTTTTACTCACCCACTCTTACAGATAAACCAAAAACAAAACACTGACTCATACAAAGAAAGCCAACAAACAAAGCAAGTACAAAATAAAATGGAAACCTAGAAACTGAGAACATAAAGACTATTTAAATAAAACCATAAAAGGCACAAGAAACAATAAGAAACATGAGAACATTCATGCAACAGAATACTACTAAAGAAAATATTCAGGGTCAGTGCTGTGGCATAGTGGGTAATGCAGCTGCCTGCAGTGCCAGCATCCCATATGAGTACTGGTTCGAGTTCTGGCTGCTCCTCTTCCAATCCAGCTCTTGTCAATGGTCTGGGAAAGCAGTGTAAGATGGCCCAAGTCCTTGGGCTCCTGCACCTGCATGAGAGAACTGGCTCAGCTCAGCTCTAGCCATTGCGGCCAACTGGGGAGTGAACCAGCGGATGGAAGACCTCTTTCTCTCGCTCTGCCTCTCCTTCTCTCTCTCTGTGTTAACTTTGACTTTCAAATAAATAAATAAATCTTTAAAAAAGAAAATATTCAAAGAATAAAAAGAGCTCTTAGAAGTAAAAAAGGACTTACAGGAAAAATAACACTTTAATAGAAAACTTTGAAGATATAATTGAAGATGCATCCCAAAATGCAGAGAAATACACACCAAGATGAAATGTAGAAGAGTAAGGATAAAAAATTATAAAACTGGGGCAAGCATTTGGCCAGCAGTTAAGACGTCACTTGAGATGCCCATAATCCATTTAAGAGTGCCTGGGTTAAAATCCCAGGTTCGGTTCTGATTTCAGCTTCCATAAAATGCAGACCCTGGAAGGCAGCAGGTGTTGGTTCAAGTAGTTGAGTCTCTGCCACCCACATGAGAAATCTGGGTTGAGATCCTGGCTCCTGAATGAACCAGCAGACAGGAGCAGTGTGTTTTGTGTGTGTTTATGTGCATGTGCGTGCATGTGTGTGTGTGAAGAAGAAGAAAGAAGAGGAAAATCAGTCCTTGAAGTCCAATATCCAACTATGGAAATTAGAAGAGAAGAGAGAAGGGAGAAGGGAGAGGAGAGAAGGGAGGCGAGGAGAGGGGAGGGGAGGGAAAGGGAGGGGAGGTGAGGGAAAGGGAGGGGAGGGGAGGGGAGGGAGGGGAGGGAGGGGAGGGGAGGGGAGGGGAGGGAGGGAGGAAGGAAGAGAGAGAGAAAGAAAGAAAAGAAAGAAAAGAAAGGGAAAAGAAAGGGAAAGGGAAAGGGAAAGGGAAAGGGAAAGGGAAGGGAAGGAAGGGAAGGGAAGGGAAGGGAAGGGAAGGGAAGGAAAGGAAAGGAAAGGAGAAAGGAAAGGAAAGAAGAAAGGAAAGGAAAGGAAAGGAAAGGAAAGGAAAGGAAAGGAAAGGAAAGGAAAGGAAAGGAAAGGAAAGGAAGAAAAAGAAAAAGGAAATGATGAGGAAAATCATCTATATCATCAATGGAATAATTCAGAAAATTTCCATGACCAGAAGGACATGGCTTCTGGATTGAAAGGGTCAACCAAGAACCCAATTTAACGGAATCTCAGAAAGATACAGGATCATGCAATTTCAGAATATTCATTTTATAAGCTTTGAAGGTAAAGATAATTTACATAAAAGATAAAGAATTAGAATGAGATGGCATCACACTTCCTAACAGTAACTAATGAAACCCAAAGACAATAGGACAAAGCCATCAATATTTTGAGGGAAAATTATCTCCCAACTAGAATTTGATTTCTAGTCAAAAATATCTTTCTAGATCTAAAAAAAATTCCTTTTTATGCTAGATCTCAGGAAGTTATGAAGTTGCATTGAAATAAGACAATAAATTAAGACATGGCATTCTAGAAAACAAAAATCTTCTAACAGGCAGAAAAGAATCTCCATGATGACAGCAGAAGTCAACAGTTGTGTAGGTCTACCAATCAGTTCCTCTAAATTAGAAAACAACAGCAGGTTATAAAGGAGAAATATTTTTAAGCAGACAAAACACATTCTTCTGGACTTTGTTTTATGCATATATATTAAAAAATTTTAAATGTAGAATCACTTAAGTAACTTTGAAGCCCCTTTCAATATATCAAGGAACTAATCAGATATCCTAAAAAATACTGAGCTCTCATTCTCCAAAGGGCTTTCTAGTTAAGAGTCATGTGTAGGGTTGGTGAGCAGCTGTGTAATGTTCCACATTTTACAAAAAAAAAAATTTAAAAGAGAAAAAATGTCTCTAATAATCTCTAGAGTTCTAGTCTCCTCCTGAGATGAAAACACTCTCTTTTCTATCAGGCTTGAGATATGAAAATCACATGCATCACCATCTCATTTTGGCTAGTCTCCATGCTACTACTGGACAAGAGCCAGACTTCTGAAACAGTAAGTTTTTACAATGAAGGTAGTCAAAATGTTTTAATGGTATGCTTTTTGTATATATAGTTAAATATCCCAAGTTAAAAAAAAAGGGGGCTATCAAAACTCAAAAATCGTGTACATTCAAAAATCTACGATCTCTAAGCCAGACTCTAATTTGCCAAAAGCAGTCATCATTTATAAAAACTGAATCCTTTAAAAATTAAGGAGAAATCTCGGCCGGCACCACGGCTCACTAGGCTAATCCTCTGCTTTGCGGTGCTGGCACACCGGGTTCTAGTCCCGGTCGGGGCGCCGGATTCTGCCCCGGTTGCCCCTCTTCCAGGCCAGCTCTCTGCTGTGGCCAGGAAGTGCAGTGGAGGATGGCCCAAGTGCTTGGGTCCTGCACCCCATGGGAGACCAGGATAAATACCTGGCTCCTGCCATCGGATCAGCGCGGTGCGCTGGCCGCAGCGCGCCGGCTGTGGTGGCCATTGGAGGCTGAGCCAAAGGCAAAGGAAGACCTTTCTCTCTGTCTCTCTCTCTCACTGTCCACTCTGCCTGTCAAAAAAAAAAAAAAAAAAATAAGGAGAAATCTCTAAATTTTCATTACTAAGTCAGAGACCAGTTTTAAGACATTAAAAACCACAGTCTAAAATATAGGAAATTTTTCAAAAAGTCATGTATTTATAAGAAAAACTGCTCGTTTTACATTATTCTTGGGGGTCCATTCCAACTACACATCACACAAAACAAGAATTATTTATTTGAATCTACATCCACATAAGAAAAGTACTTCACATTTTCTTTCTCATCAAATCCAAACAAAGATCAATTTCTGATAGAAAACAAGTATTTCCTTTTAAAACACCAAATTTTGAGCTGTTAATTCTACAAAGTTATCTACTAGATATTATTTCATAATTATTTAATTTCATAATTAATTTGATTAATGTTATTAGCTCTGATTGTTTAGATAATTTCCTCATTATAAATTCCAATCTTGCATACTAGAATATTAAATAAAAGCAAGCTAACAGAATTGTTATTTATCACGTAATACAAAGAGACATGGGAATATAACAATATTCTGTTAGTAATGATTACACATAATAAACTAGTCTCCTGTCTTGATTGCATCAGAATTTCCTTAATCATGAGTATTTCATCCCAACAAATGAAGAAACATTCTACCTTTTTCATACTATAATACCAACAGATTAGATAGCAGATTTTTTTCCCAAAATGATTTTCTCCCAATGTCTGAGTGCTTAGATATGAAATCGTGGGAAATTGTTAATATTTTTCCCAACTAACGCATTTCTAATATTTTTTTCTTTTTTAGGAAATCAAATGTAATTTCACTGAAAAGAATTATTCTTTGATTCCAGTGGATATCAATAAAGATGTTACTATACTTGATCTCAGTTATAACCAAATTACTCTCAACATTACAGACACAAAGGTTCTACAGAAGTATTCTTCACTCACTGAGCTCTACTTGATGGAAAATAATATTACTATCTTACATAATAATAGTTTCCAAAGCCTCTCCAATCTAAAAATTTTAAATATTTGTAAAAACTCCATCTATGTAATTCAACATGATGCATTTGTAGGCTTGGATAAACTCAAACAGTTGTATCTATGCCAAAATAAAATAAAACAACTGAATCCTCATATATTTGTGCCTCTAAAAACCCTGACACTTCTGAGTCTACAAGGCAATTTCTTAAGTTATTTTGACGTACCACAACTATTTCATCTGGAATTAATAATGTTATATGAAAATCCATGGAACTGCTCCTGTAGTATATACAATTTGCAGAACTGGTTGAACACATCAAATGTGACACTAGGTAAGTGTTCAAATCAAAACCAAGATGTGGTTAACTTTTGGTGTTCCACCCCAGAAAAATCTCTCATTTAATGTTTCCTGAAAAAAGGAAACTACTGGGGCCAGCATTGTAGCACACTGAGTTAAACCACTACTTAGGACTCTCACACCCCTTATCAAGGTGCCAGTTCAAGTCTTAGCTACTTGGCTTCCTATCCAGATCCCTGCTAATGTACCTGGGAAGCAGCAGATGATGTCTCAAGTACACGGGTTCCTGCCTCCCACATGAGAGACCAAGATGGAGCTCCTGGCTTCTGGCTTTCGCCTGGCCCAGCTCCCACTGGTATAGCCATTTGGGGAGTGAATGCCAGTGAATGAAAGATTTTTCTCTTTTTCCCTTCCCCTCTCTCTCTGTCACTGTGCCTTTCAAATAAATAAATATAAATACTCTTAAAAACAATGAAAATTAAAAAGGAAATGATTTCCACTTAAGGGAAACTAAAGAAAAACTTAACTAAAAATTGCAGAATAGATGTCTTCCCTCCAAGAAAAAAACAAAACTAAATGTAATATATACATATATATATATGATACTTGTCACTTCATGTATTAAATTTACAGACTCAATAGATATGACTAAATTTCTTTCTCTAAGTATTTTGTTTATTCTTGGAATATCTTGTCACAGAGATGAAAATAGGTGTCCTACTTTGTTAATTGCACACCATGCTCTGCCATAAAATCTTTACTAACACAAACTAAACACTAAACAGATACATTCAAACTGTATTTAGAAAACAACATGGGGCCAGCACTGTGGTGCAGTGGGTTAACACCCTGGCCTGAAGTGCTGGCATCTCATATGGGTGCCGGTTCTAGTCCTGGCTGCTCCTCTTCCGATCCAGCTCTCTGCTATGGCCTGAAAAAGCAGCAGAAGCCCATGTAGGAGACACCGAGGAGGCTCCTGGCTTTGGATCGGTGCAGCTCCGGCCGTGGCGGCCAACTGGGAAGTGAACCATCAGATGCAAGACCTCTCCTCTCTCTCTCTGCCTCTCCTTCTCTCTGTGTAACTCTGACTTTCAAATAAAAATAAATAAATAAATCTAAAAAAAAAAAAAGAAAACAACATAACAAAATAGGGATGTACATAATTTCTGCATTGTGTTGTTAGGCAGGGAAGTAAGAGTATCTTATGTACTTAAAATAATGACAGATAAGTCAAAAATCCTGGATAAAAATTATAATATGTTAATCATTTTTATTTCCTATAATAATCTTTATTCTTTCTTATTAGAAAATGAGAACATCACCATGTGTATCTACCCAGATACCCAGAAGAGCTACAATATCAAAACAGTACCCCATGCAGCTGAATGCTCAAAATTCACTTCATCTGTAATGGAAGACCTTTATATTAATTTTCAGTTCATTAGCAACTCAACATTTAATAGCTCTCTGAATAACTTAACAGGAAATTCAGGTAAGGTACTAGTTTGAAAGACTAGTAATGCTGAAAGTATCAAATTGAATAAACTTAAGTAGCTCTCTTTATCTTTCTCCATCTTGAATTCTATAAACAATGTAAAAAAACAATTCTTAATCTAAACAAAAGATTTACAAAATACTGGGATTCCAACCTAGGCTCTGCAAGGTACCATCCAAATGCCACTGTGTATTATTTAACTTTTCTGAGCCTTCATTTTAACCAGCTATGTCACAATTCTTAATGATTGTGAATCAATAATTGTTTTAGATGAATGGATAACACCTGAAAAGACAGGTAGAGACTGAATATCCCTTACCCAAAATGCTTGGGATCACTTGCGTTTTGAATCTTAATTTTTTATTTTGGATGTTAGACTATCTGCACATGCATAGGAATGCGACCCAAGGATAAACAAAAAATTAACTTATATTTCATATAAACTTAAACACATTTTTTAAATGATACTTTTAGTGCATCTGCATTTTGACTGTGACCCTTCACATGAGTTCAGGTGTGGAATTTTCTACTTGTAGCATCATGTGTCAGTTCTCCAAAAGTTTTAGATATTGGAGTATTTCAGATTTGGGGGTTTGGAATGTTCAAATTGTAGTTATAGTTAAAAGAAATGGGTTCTTTCACAATATGAAGCACCTTTTACTTATTGTAGTTTTACTTTTGCCTAAATAAAACTATAATGCACGTTCACTTACTGGGGAATATTAGGACATGTGATTTTGATTATGATATTTTTGTCAATTTAACAAAATCTCTCTCCATTTCTCTTTCTACCATTTAAGAACATGAACCTCTTGGAAAAAGTTGGGCATTTCTTGTTGGTGTTGTTATCACTGTACTGATTACTTCACTCCTTATTTTTATGGCTATCAAATGCCCAATATGGTATAATTTTCTAATTAGTTACAACCATCATCGCCTGGAAGAACATGAAGCAGAAACCTATGAAGACGGTTTTACTGGAAACCCAAGTTCTCTTTCACAGATACCAGATACAAACTCTAAAGATACTATAGTGATATTTGAACAACTGCATTCATTTGTGATAGATGATGATGGGTTTATTGAAGACAAATATATAGATACCCGTGAATTACGTGAAGAAAATTAATTTTCTAAGTTTGATTTAAAAAATATTATCAGTCCACTTAAAATTTAGAGATGGAGATTCTGAACCAAACAATAGCTAGTAGAGCTTTACATAAATTAGAACATACATAAATACCCTAAAATTATGTTTTTCTCATTGTTTTAAGCAAGAAGTCAAAATATAGTAGTAGCTAACACTCTTGGATGTAACAGTCTATAATACCAGCAACATTATTCTTAGCAGTATTCAGGAGACCACAGAGTCTAGTAAAGGAAATTATCCAAGAATTATAACAGATTCTCATGTAACAGATATTTGATGTAATATGTATTAACATTATACTAAAGTTCAAATCAGTGAAGAAATAAAGTTTTTGGACTTAAGCCATTATAGGTCAAAGTAACGAACAGAGATAGCTTAAGCTATGTACTATATACGATCAACTTTATGCTCACAGAGTGAATTCCTGGAGTTGAAGAATATTTTTAAAAATAGGTCCTGAATTAGCAAAATAAATTTTCTTAAAATTTAGTAGTAGTTTAAAACACAGGAATAGTGTTCAGGAAAAATCCCTAGTAGGTTAATTATGATTTCAGTGATACACAATGTCGTCATAAAACATGATTACCACAATTTAATATCATGTTGGCTTCCAAAGTGGGCATCACAATGATGTATGAATCTTGTTTTTAAAAATGGATATTTCTCTCTCTCTCTGGGAAAATTTATTCCAATGCATCTGTGCTCGGGCTACAGGATCTTCAGGTGATAGATACAGTAATGTTTGCTGAATTGCTTTCTGTAACACTAATTTCCAGAGAGACATTAAGTACTTACAGGAAAATAAAAATAAGTATGGTCAAATTACTACAGCAAACACTAGGTTTGAATAAAAAGAAACAAAATGCTTAACTAAACTACTCTGTGATCATTCAAGATCTAAGTATTAAGAAGTGCTAAAGTTACCTGACAACAAAACCCTTTCTTTGAGGTAAATGTAATAAGAACTCATAACACAATAATAGTCCAAGAAACAGCAGAGAACACTGACCTTGAGAATAATAGGAAAGGTCTATCTGAAGTGAATTATTTGCCATTCCTTATAATCCATTGGCAGCAATCCTAACTGTAATAACATCATTACTAACAGTGACACTCAAAACTGTAGCAAAATCTATTAATTTTTATCTTCTATAAATGAGGAAATTAAATGTATTTATATCTTTAGAGATAAACATATTACTAAAACAGTGAAATATATTTACAGATGAAATGATATGGGATTTTCTTCATCATAATATATAGATGGGAATAGCTGCTACAGTTGTGGATAGAGCAGAGTTGGATATGAACTGAAGGGAGCTGGGGATGTACACAGAGTTATAATACAATATTTTGATGTATGTTAATTTTCCCTATAATAAAAATTTTTAAAAAGTGTATGTACTTGAATTTCTTTAAAAAGAGAGACTAAAAATAATGCACATCTATGCCACAATCTGCAAAACAGCCATTTTACAAGCTGTAGAAAGGCAGGCATTGGTCCAGCAGTTGGGAGACCACTTAAGAAACTCCATACTGGAATGCCTGGTTCAAGTTCCAGCTCCACTTCAGATTCCAGCCTCCTGTTAACATGTACCCTGAGAGGCAGCAAGTATGTAAGACCCACTTATGTGCAAGACCTGTGATAAGCTCCAGGCTCTTGGCTTTTACCCAGTCAAGCCTAAGCATTTTGGACATTTGGAAAGTGAATCAGTAAGTAGAAGATCTCTCTGTCTCTGTCTCTGACTCTCTGCCTTTCAAATAAAAATGAAAATAAAATAAGCTACATAAATAATAAATTCAGTTTAAATGTCTATTGAATCTGTTTAAGATCTGTTTAGCATGATGTATCCTGTGAAGCAGATTTTACTTATTATAATGCATACTTGCTGCATGTATAGAAATGTGTTTAAATAAAGGGTATAAATTTTTAAGTTTACTATTTCTTTACATATAATATCAATTATACATTATTTTAAATACCAATTATAAGAATGATTATGGGAACACCATGCTTCTTTTTCTAAATAATCATTCTACCAAAATGTCACTTCTTAATTATATGGTGCAAATATTTATAACTGAGAAATATAGTAAAATAAACATAAATGAGTGAACATCATATCTAATACCTTCCATTTAAGAGAATCTTATCATTGAATATTGAATATTCAATAATGATCTGTCTAAACGAAAAAAGGGTATAAAATTATTATCATGTGCACTTTCAAAGACAACTAACTTTGACTAATATCCAACTACCAAATGTAGATATCAGAATTAGAAGAGAATCATTTGTTCAAACAGGCATGTTAAAATTAATTAGATGCCTAACTATTAATGATGTAAGAAGACGTTATACTATAACCAACTTATTATGGAAGGGTTTTCCATAATAAATCAGGTGATTATACCATACTAAATGGAAAGAGAAGTATGAAAACAGAAGCTTTTTCTACCAGCCTTCCCAAAGGGTATCATTTCCTGATCCTTTTGAAAGTGCAGAGTCAAGATAGGATCCTTCTGTTACTCAAACACTGATCACCTGGCTAACACAAGAAATAAATCTATCTTCCTGCTGTATATAAAAGTAAATTTCATAACTTTTACTCTTTTTTTTTTTTTTTTTTTTGACAGGCAGAGTGGACAGTGAGAGAGAGAGACAGAGAGAAAGATCTCCCTTTGCCATTGGTTCACCCTCTAATGGCCACCGCGGCCGGTGCGCTGGGCCGGCGCACCGCGCTGATCCGATGGCAGGAGCCAGGTACTTATCCTGATCTCCCATGGGGTGCAGGGCCCAAGCACTTGGGCCATCCTCCACTGCACTCCCTGCCCACAGCAGAGAGCTGGCCTGGAAGAGGGGCAACCGGGACAGAATCCGGCGCCCCGACCGGGACTAGAACCCGGTGTGCCAGCGCCACAAGGCGGAGGATTAGCCTAGTGAGCCACGGCGCCGGCCCATAACTTTTGTTCTTAATCTACATTTCTCCCCAGAAGAGACAGGCAAGCTTATTTCACTCAGCTTTAATTACAAACTGCAGATATAGTTTTCAAATTGGTCAGTGACACTCTCAGGACAAATTATCATGTTTTTCCTTAGTCAAATGAACCAAATGGACATACAAATTTTGAAGGATCTTAAACTTATAATCTGGGAATGTTTTTGTATGAAGTATCTGTAAAACATGTAAATCTGATCTGTGTATTACAGACTTTGAGATAAATAATGAAATAAAAGGGACTTAAATGTTCTAAACTCTTCAAGGTGTTCAGAGAGTTATACCTTATATATTTCTTATTTTTTATGGTTCCTAGGAGTGTATCTCTACACAATAAATGATAGTTATTTGCTAAGTGGTTTAAAAACCAGGAAAAAAAATTCAAGGAAGAGTCTGGTTACTATGAATGGAAATTTCTTTGTTAAAGGAAAGGGACTGTTAATATTTTCAATTTTTTTTAAATATTAAGCATGCAATTTGTTGAATGTGTTCTTTTTTTTTTTTACTTTTTTAAAAATGATTTTATTTATTGATTTGACAGGTAGAGTTAGACAGAGAGAGGCAAAGACAGAGAGAAAGGTCTTCCATCCACTGGTTCACTCCCCAAATGGCCGCAATGGCTGGAAGTGGGTGGATCTGAAGACAGGAGCCTGGAGCTTCTTCTGGGTCTCCCACAGAGGTACAGGGGCCCAATCACTTAGGCCATCTTCCACTGCTTTCCCAGGCCATAGCAGACAGTTGGACTGGAAGAGGAGCAGCCAGGACTTGAACCAGCACCCATATGGGATGCCAGCACTGCAGGCAGAGGCTTAGCCCGCTATGCCACAGCGCTGGCCCCAGTATTTTCAACTCCTAAGAAATCACTTTTCAGCCATATCAAATGATAGATGAGGGGAGAGGGAGAGTTCTTTTTATCTTTCAAATGCTTTATTGCTTTATTAGTATATTTTAACATCCTATTCTTCATTGAATATATACTATTTATTCAGAACTAACATAACAGTGTATTTGGTATTACCATATTTTGGTAATTTTAGTTAATTACTATCATTGCTCTCAAAGAGATTATAAATATTCAAAGAGATAATATTATTAAATTTCTGGAATGGCATGTGAATGTGTGTGTATATAAAACAGCTCATTTCCTAGGCTTGCATTGCCATAGACAATATTTGATTAAGATTATACAAAAGTTGATGAAGAACAATTATTTGAATTATAACATATCTACTTATTATCTAGGTAGGCATTACTTCCACTGCTATGACTACTTTATTACCAAAGTCAAGGTATTGGTATTTATTCTTCAGACAAGTTATATTATATATACAGTTGTACATAAGATCTACATATGATATGGGTTACTAATATAATAAAATTATAAATACTAATGAAATAATGTAAATAGACTACTGCCTAATAATACATGTTTCATTAGACTGGGCCTGAAATACCTTAATTCAATTTAGATAAAGGCCCAAGTTAAAATTAAAATTGGTAGACATAAAGATATTCTTACTTATCTTAGATTTTAAGTTCTTCTACTGGAAGGAGAAATCCTATTTATATAATCTATGTAGTAATTTTACTTTGTACAGAATCAATTTTTTAGTGTTAAGTGGAGATAACATGAATAAACAATAAAGTCTGTATTGCAAACATTTTTTAAATGAAAAAACGCAACATGGAAAAACAGTTAAGAAAAATTTGTAAAGATATAAATGACTTGAAAGTTGAACTACCTAAAAAATTCACTTAAGAATCTGTTTGATATTTAAATGGGTTGAACTTACGCTTGTCTTTCAGTAAATATGATATCCATGCTTTGTGTTTCTCGATCATTTTGGGCTTTAAGCTAAATAAACAGTTAACAGAAAAGTTAGTGATTTAATAAAAAAAAACTAACACAAATTCTTTCTTTAAAGGTTATTCAGGTTATGAAATAAAGGAGAGATTATTCAAAATAATCAAACGATAAAAAGTTTATGAAAAAATAAACAGTAACTATTTCCTTTAACAAAAAAAATCACTAATAAAATCTTTTTACACACCAAAAATATTCATTGCCTTTAGTGATCTGCCAAAAAATTGAATATAAACTTAATTTATATAAAATGCATTTCAAGAACTTATTGAATATTCAATAAATACTTGACTAGAAATTTGTTGAATTTAAAACCATCACAAATTTTATTTTTAAATCACTCAAGGAGTTTACCTAAGTATTCCTACTTGACTCTACCTGTGTATATACAACCTACAATTTGGACAAATCCCAAATAACTGACCAAACACATAAGGCATTGAAATACAGTTTTAAAGTTGTGAATTCTCCTGTGTTGTTAAGCTAAAAATAACCTACTAAATTATGGTTTTGGAACCCAATTTTAGAAGAGTCTTCTTTATGTATTCTTGGAATAATTTTTTGATCATGTAATGAGTTTTATGTTATTTTCAATCAAAATAAGCTATCTATAATTAAAACAAGTTAGCTAATATATTTCATTGTTTTCTATCAAATAATTAATCTAAGAAATTTGTATACAAATTTTCACTTACCAACCAGTTAGTATTACATCTGCCATTATATCTATTCATTTTTCTTCTTTTGTTATAAAAGCTATGTAAAAGTGCCATTTACCTCTATCAAGTACTCAGCTCCATTTGGGCAAAAATTATACCGAAAATATAAACTGACATATATATATATGAGGAAATGTAGATGGCACTCTCTGACTAACGCTAAGTGTGATACCAATTAAAACAGCCTGTAGACACAGTAACTAAAGTGTTAACTGGGAGAGACAACCAATGGGAACAAATTTTAAAAGAGCAGTTAAGGGAGTTCAAATATAATAGTGGTATTTAAGGTCAGAGTAATGCCCATCACTAAGGTTCATAAAGTCGCATATAGATCTATTGCTTATATTTATAAATTTTCTTACCATGTTGTAATCATTCATTACTTCTTCCATTTCAGTATTGGTATTAAGTTTATCTACCAACTAAAAACAAAAGTACAAAAAAATTTACATATATTACTCTTTATAAATGTTGTCTGTTAATTCATCACATAAGCATTCAATTATACAAACAAACAGTAACTTAAGTATTAGGAATTCTTAAGTGTATTATTTTCCTGGATATAAACAAATTATTTAGCTACCTAAGTAAACATATACCACATATTTGGCCAATAAGTAAAATACCTTTTTAGAATAGAAAAGTGAGCAGTAATTAACTACTCCTGCAGATATCTCAGAGAGTTTCACTTGCTCTGAAAAGATGCATGAGCTTTTAAAGAAGAGTCTATCAAAAATAAATGTTTTAGGAAGATCTGTCATACTGTATTTTTGAGGGGAGAAAATATTAACAGATTTAAAATTTATACTAAGGACAATATAAAAGATTGTCATCTTCCAAAAACTAAAAAAACAAAAAACAAAAACCAAGAGTATAAATAGAACACTAGTAAACCTACTTCAAAATGTTAGGCAATAGCTAACAAAGTATTTATCATGTCCCAAACACTATTCAGAGCCCATTATTCATATTAACATGCTTAATTTCCACAATTATTATAGATAAAAGAGCTAGTAACATCTAACATTTACTGGGAACTAACCATATGTCAGACTACTAAGCGCTTTCTATGTATCAGGTATTATTTTATTAAACCTACAAACAGCAAATTTTGCATTTTATTATTTTCATATTAAGCAATTTACTTCATAAATCCCAGCATAACTAAAAATTTCTTTTCTCAGTCACTTCATATCTTATAAAAATTGCTTGTCTCATATTTAGATTAAACATTATTTACTAAACAACCCCAATGAATATTTCATCCTATAAAATGTTTGTTATGGATTGTATAGCTCAGAATATTTAACAATTACAATACACAATTAGCAAATTTTATTGTAAAGTATAATGTAACAATATCAAATATGACCATCCTAATATACCTAAATATTATGGTAAAATATCACTTGCTTCTTGTAACACTATTTCTTAACAGAAAATGTGAGATAAAAGCTTGTCATTTTCATTAAACAAAGCGCCCAAGAAACTGATAGAAAATATGGACCCTAGATATTTTCATGGGCCCAACATCACCCCAAGCATTAAAAGCAGTTATCAACTTTGCCAAAGGGATTGTTTGTTCTGAAAGTCCACATCAGTATGCATACTTGGTAAAACTATTTTTTAAGTTACATAGTCTATTTTGATAAAATACAGATACTTTATTTTGAATAAAACATAAAGATGGAGGTAATCTGCCTGCTAAACCATTAAATTTTTAACATTTTATAATAACAACACTTTTTGAAAACCAAAACATAGGGTTGGCGCTGTAGCGTAGCAGGTAAAGCCGCCACCTGCAGGGCCGGCATCCTATATGGGTGCCGGTTCAAGTTCTGGCTGCTCCACTTCTGATCCAGCTCTATGCTATTGCCTGGGAAAGCAGTAGAAAATGGCTTAAGTGCTTGGGCACCTGCACCCACGTAGGAGACCCAGAAGAAGCTTTTGGCTCTTGGCTTCAGATTGGCGCAGCTTTGGCCCTTGCAGCCATTTGGGGAGTGAACCAGCAGATGGAAGACCTCTCTCTCTCTCTCTGCCTCTCTGTAACTCTACCTTTCAAATAAATAAACAAATCTTAAAAAAAAAAAAACAAACTAAAACGTGTTTTGAAAGCAATGCCATTATTATTACCCAGTAAATGTTAACTTCTTCCCAAATTGTAATTTTAATCATAACTTTAATATTGTTAGGGAAAAAAGAATGTGTATATTTTTGTATTTGTAAGTAAACATTTTTTAAAAATACTGGAAGAATACTTATCATCTGTTAAGCCACATTAATTTTGGGGAGAGAAATGAGAAAGAAAGGAAAGCAGCCCTTTATTCTCTTTCTTTTTATGGTTTCAATCTTTCACAGTAAGTATATATTCCTGTATTACTTTATACTTAAAATAATGTATTTTAAAGTGGAAAAGCAATGAAAATATTGAAAAGAAATTCTCTCAGAAAAGTGCAGATACCATGTTATAGTCTGCTAGTTGTCCTTGAAACTCTTTGATTTCAACAGCTAAAGTCTCTGCCCTATAAACATAAGAAAAACACATTCATAAATATATAAGTAGATGAACATTTCAAGCATTATGGATACGAAAAAATTCAATATGATGAATATACAATACTGAATGACCAATAAGTACTTATTCAGAAGTATAAATAATAAAAAAGTCTTGTATATTTTAAATGAAAAAGTACCTACCTCTTTTCATATGACAAATACACAGAATTCTCCTGATTGTACATTTCTATTTCTTTCTGAAGCTTATTAATTTCAGTTGTAAGTTCACTTATTTTACTTCTGATCAAAAAGAAATAAAAAAGTCAGGAATAATTCTAATCCAGAAGGCTTTCTAGTTAAATCTTATATTTTTCATAAATGTACAACATAAATGGTTTATGAAATTAGTTAAATGGCTCATTAAGCTCTGAATAAAGATAACCTCAGTCTATTCTAATCAATTAATTTGAAACTGACATAGATTCTGTAATCATTAACAAATTGTTAAATTAACAACAGGAGTCACTGTGCACTAATCCCCATGCAGGACCTCTGTCCTCAGAGTTGTATGATGAGAGTTAAATGTGATACTGGTTCCCAAAGTTTTTGTGTGCTTGTGTGTGCAAACTGTTGAAATCTTAACTTGGTATAGAGTTGATCTCCTATGTACAAAGTTAATTGAAAATGAATCTTGATGGACAATGGGACTGGGAAGGAGAGAGGGAGGAGGAAGAGGAAGAGGAGGGGTGGAAGTGTGGGAGGAGGGTGGGTCTGGTGGGAAGAATAACTATATTCCTAAAATTGCACTTTTAAAATTTGTATTCCTTAAAAAATAAATTTAAAAAAAATTAAAGAAGCAAAAAATTTAAACTTTATGCTATATTTTCTTTATTTCTAGATTTTTTTTTTTTTTTTGGACAGGCAGAGTTAGATAGTGAGAGAGAGAGACAGAGTGAAAGGTCTTCATTCCGTTGGTTCACTCCCCAAATGGCTGCTACGGCCGCTGTGCCTGGCGCGCTGCGCCGATCTGAAGCCAGGAGCCAGTT